AAAAAAAAAAAAAAAAAAAAAAAAAAAAAAATTGGATATGATAAAATCTATTTTCATTTCCCGTTATTTAAAATTATTGTAATAAATAAGTAAAAAAAGTATCTCTCGCATAATAGTAAATTTATATAATATATATAATTGATAGTATCTTTGATAAATTATCATAGATAACTGCAATATATAAATACGTTAAATTTTAACATTGTAAAAATATAAATCTTTTATCATTATATACATGTATAAATATCTTGTTTCTGTTCAATTATATAAATTAATTGTTATTTGCATGATTATAAGATATACATAAAATATGTATATTGCACAAAAACACAGAGACACGATTCTTACAATCCGATTACACGATGATAAACTGAATATAGCTAATCTTAAATATATCTTTTTGTAAGAGAGTCTATCACACATGTGCATATACAGGGTGTCCCAGGAGGAAAGGTCAATAGTCTGATAATATCGGTCATTTTATCAAAAATGTTCATATAAACGAGTGTCCTATTTCAAACGGTTTCCGAGATAAAATTGTTTGAATGTATAGTTGCAAAATTACTGATAAGAAAGAAATACTACATGTTGTTTCTAATTTATTGTTTGCTACACATTTTTCATAATTCATAATAAATTTTCAAATAAAAATTTATAAAAATAAAATATAAATATAAAATTCATAATTTATTTTTTCGGAATATGAAATTTATTCATATAAACATTTTTGTTTAAAATGACCAATGCCATCACCTTCCAAAATATTGACCTTTCTTCCTGGGACACCCTGTATATATATACCTTGAAATCATTGTTACATATCTATCTTCAAGAATGTTATAAAATTTGATAATCTCTCCCCTGTGTCTACTTTTCTGATAATAGACAATGATTTCATATTAATAACTGATGTCGCAATATTAATCACAAAATGTGATTATAGTAACATATCATGATAAAAGGATCAAATAAAAATTATCAGTTCTATTCTTGTGTGTATATGTATGTGTGTGAGTGTGTGTAAATGACACTTAAACATTATCACTGCTACTTAAGATTCATATATTTGATAGTGCATTCATATAGCATCAAAATGTGATACATAATATAGTATGCTACATTTCTAGTAAAATAATTTAGGTTGTAAGTGCACTGTGCCTACACAAGTTATGTTCACATACATTATTAAAGCAACAAATGGTAAATCTTTGCTGAATAATGAAACGTAGCTTGTAGAAACTTGCCACAATGTTATCAGAGCTAGTTTTAGAAGTTTATATATATAATTCAGTTAATGTTAGTATTGTTACACTTAATATGGTCAACATATAAACACATTTCTGTTCTATTTTTATGCAATGAGCAAAATGGCTAAATATCTGCATGCATTATTAGAAAGTTTAGGTTTAGTTTCTTATACCATACATGTGTGCATACCATTCGTGCTCGAATAATTTGTCTTATAATGAGATAAATTCCTATCTGTCCAAACATCACAAAACTTATTGTTCTACCAATTACATTCACACACTCCACTAAATAGAGATTTATTAATGTAAATATATATTTTAAATGTTCAAAAAGAGTCTATAAAGGCAAAAGATTTCTTTAACACAACCGTTTACATAACTATTCATATATTTTTATTCTTGCTAAGAATAAATATATCGTAAATAAGTATGAATAGATCAGTTGTGTTTTTAAATGTATAGGAAGCATCTACATACTATAAACACGCATACATGCACATATTTCTAACCTCTACAAAAATAAATTTTTATTTAATACCTACGTACAAATACTCGTTTTTATGACATAATACGAATAAAAAAATAGATCAATTAATTTTTTTATCATTCTTTAATCTATTTCTTATTTCAATAATCACTAATTATTACAAATATGTGAGTTCTATCTTATGTTACTTTTTGGTTGCCATGATATCATCAGATACAAGTCAATTTCATATAATTAAAAATATAAAATAACTAATTGTTTGTATATCATATACAATAAAAAAATAAGAAGAAACATTTAAAATGTTATATTTTATATCTATAAAATTCTATAAATATATATAATCTATAATAGGCTTTTGTCAGAATAAAAAGATATGATTTTAATGTGCACTTTATATAATTTTATACACATGCTAATAAATTCTTCTTGCAACTAAATTTTAAGAATAGTAAAATAATAATTTTCAATTTACCCTTTTCGATGAGCGATAGATTGAGGAAATAACAGATGGTTGCACTGTATTTATATCTCCTATGTAGAACATTGGTCTGCTTGCATTCCTGAGGCCCTGCAAGCAAAATCTGTTAGACGTCTTATAAGAGCAAAATTTTATTCAGAGTTACAAGCACATTTACCTGATAACCATGTTCCAGTTCAGTGTAAGACATGTCAGATCAATTTCATTGATAAAGAAACACCTGTTTCGTGTGTGCTTGTATTAGATGATATCTTGCACACTAAAAAAAAAATGACATTATCTCACATTATTCACTTTAATTATATGCATCAATCAGTTACAGTGACATATATAATTAAATGCAACTACTTGAAAAATTGACCAAGATGCTCATAAATTTGTTTTATTCTATTTCTCTTACAAGTTTTTTGTCCCAGCTGATTTTCTTCAATCTCTTTCAAGACGCGTCCGTTTAATGATGGCTTATATGACTCGGGCCTCGTCTAACAAGCTGTAACAAAGCCTATGCGCATCGATGTTTATAAATTACCTGAAAGATAGAATAAACATACGCTGTGTGTAATGTTTGTACATACTACGAAGTAGATAACCCCTTTTCCTCCGCGTTTGTAATAACATGGATTAATTGCAAACAATGACACGTACGATGAGTATATTTGCAGTAGATTAAATCGGGCAATATTACATCGAAATTAGAAACGTAAGAAAACAGTCGTGCAAAACGGCGTCACGATTTTGCCGATGCGCATTTACACCGAAATGCTAGTGAATAGAACGTTACTTACAGATCAAGATGGAAATGCGATTCGCGATATCAGTGCTCGCGCGAGACTTGTAATATGACACGAAATACGTGATCCGGTATCACGATTGCAAAGACGTTTGAATTTGCGTCTCCATGTGACGTCGATCTCACTTTACGTGACATGTGTCAAGATCGAATCTCGAAGCGATGTTCCTCGATCGTGGGATTTTTCCACGCATGCGTCATTAATTTTGTATACATAGCATGCGCACAAATCCTCTATATTTGATTTCTCTGGCGTTCCGTTCGATGCTACAGAAATTTTGAAACATTTAATTGACCAATCAAGACATAAGACCTTTTTGCCGAGATCACGCTCCTAAATAATCAAACGCTTAGAAATTTTCGTAGTGTCAAACAGAACGCATCTTGAAAATATAGAGGTGGTAAATCGAAAAATTCAAATAGGAAAATAGTAGAATTACAGTCAGTTTATTTATATATGTAATGTACAATATATTGTATAGTATTCCATGTCGTTTTATATTGATTTGTACTAATAAATTGTATAGATAATCTCAAATAGTCTATAAAAAAAATATATAAGGTAAAAAACAAAAAGGGGAGAGAGATACATCTATACCCAGAGATTAATATATTCGAATATAATCATATAAAAAAAGAAGATACTTAGCTTAATTTTGTAAATTTATGTCTATATTCTTGGACTCTATGAAATAATTTATATATATATCGAAAGTAACAAAAATAAAAAAAAAATAAAAATGTTTAATTACTCTGAAATAAAATTTCACTAGCAAATGGTACACTTAAAGATTCGGACGCAAATATTGTTTAAACGTGATGTATGATAATGTATATACGAGTTCAAAAAAAAATTATTTATAAAACTTGTGATAACAAGTGATGTTATTAATGTGTCTTCTCACAATCAGAATTAACTCTTGTGCATAAAATATAAAGCATCACATTTGGAAACTTTTACGCACATGTCAAGATCATTTTATGAGTCAAATATTAACTTTATATTATAATAATGATAATATTCTGTTTCTTCATTATAAGACTATCTTCTGAGAACTAGAACTTGTTAATCTTCCAGGAACTGTTCTATAAAGAAAGTTTAAGAGCAAATGAGAGAAAAATAAGAGCGAGCAACAATAGAAAAATTTTATATAATTGGCTATTTTAAGTTCCAACATTAAAATTGAGACTTGCTTATTTGAGATGAGAGATAACTCAATATTTTCTAACCAAATAATAATTCTTGTAAAGAAAAAACTTCTGTATATCACATTCCATTTATATTACTTTTATAACCTTTATCAAAGTATCAGAGAGATTGTTTTCATCAGCTGAGAAATTAACCTGAAGTGTTTTTATCATGTTTTAATTGTGACTATGTCAATATATATAACATATATATATATATCCATAGTATTCATAATATTTTTGTAAAATCTTGTAACTATATATATATATAGTTCTGATAGTTGCTTTAAAAAATATAAAGAATTTAAAATATATTTGACAAAAATAGATTTACTATATTAGATATAATTTGTGCCACTCTTTTTCCTTTTGTTTATTTCGGGTTTTGAAATTATACATCTGCCTATACTACAAAAAATCTGTCGGTGTAAACCAGCATAAACCACACATTATACACACGCTCATATCTTGTGGCTAGCAGTGGCTACGGCTACGCTAGCAGAAGCGCCAACGACAAAGTGTACAAAGTGCAGATAAAACGAACAAACAGGATCAATACTACGATTTTCGATTCATACATCATTTGCGCTCTCTTTAGCTTTTCCTTGCATTTCTTATGCTTATAAATGATATATATATATATATATATATATTGTTTTCATCAGCTGAGAAATTAACCTGAAGTGTTTTTATCATGTTTTAATTGTGACTATGTCAATATATATAACATATATATATATATCCATAGTATTCATAATATTTTTGTAAAATCTTGTAACTGTACTTAGTTTTTTGTGTCAGTTAACAAAACTGCAATATAAAACAAATTTTACTCGCTTTTACAAATATTTATAAACATTTAATCAATAAAATTTATTTTGTCATTCTGTCTATTTAAACTAGAATATTTACCTGTACAATGTGCGTATTACTCGTAATCTTTGTGAAATCTATCATCATGATCCCAGCCTTTGTTATTCTTTTGCCTTGGTGTTACTTTTAATGAATTTAATTTTGTGTTAATGTTATCTCCTTTTCTTGGCATATCTAGCCCACCCGATCCACGTATTGCTCTTGGAATATTAGGATTTTTTGAATAACTGGCTTGTTCAGACAAATCATTTTTTATTTCTTCTCTTATAATTCGTTGATTGTTATCAATTTCTCGCAATTCATTATCTGAAATATAAAAAAATTTTTCAATATACTAATAAAATAAAAAAAGGAAATTTTATCACTTTATTGTCATCTCATAAAAGTTATCATTTAAGTATCAAAGTTAAATTTGAAAACAGAATATTTTTATTTAAAAAAGTAGAGGAAGACACAGAAAATAAAAAAAGTAACTAAAAATGAAAAATTTATTTTCCAAATTATGAATACTATTAATATGATTTGTTATGTTTGAGGAATAAGTTGTTACTATGCATCATGAATATTACAAGTAATGATGGCAAAATTGTTATTTACATTCATTTTTCTTAACATTTGATAAAGTTAAACATTAACTTAATATTTAATAAAATTACCATTTTCAGTTTTTGTCTCTGCAACTACTCTTAATTCTTTCTGAGAAAATGGATATTCAAAGGAGAGACTCTTGATGTTTGAAAGATAAAAGTGTTTTAGTTGTATATCATTGATTTCGTACTTGTTATTGACTAACTCTATCATTAACAATAACATTGCACGATTTTGAGAACTATAATTGTTTTCCTTCACCAACATTTGCCTAATTATTAGCATTAAATTCTCTAATCGATCTGGACATACTGCATGAAGATCTTTACCAGATCTAAGAATCTAAAAATAAGATCTCTTAAGTTATAATGTCATATTTTGATAAATGAGCAAGCATTGTTTTCTTGTATGCATGTGTATGTATGTGTATACATCTAAAATCTCACCTGTATCATTATGAAATAAATATTTTCTTTGACATTATCTTGCAATAGATCTTCCAAATATTGAATTAATGGTTCAGCCAATATTTTCAATTTACCACCATCACTAAGCCTCATATGATAAAAAACTTCCGCATGAAGTAAGACTATATTTGCAAATTTCTTTTTATCTTGCATTTTATATTTTTCCCTCGCTAAGAAAACGATATAAATATATAGCATAACATTGGCATACATATTGAATAAAAAATTAAAAGAACTTTCTATCAAATATTTACACATATAATTATCCTGTAAGAGACGTAAGAAACGACTTCGTATATTTTCTTTATTATTATCTTCTATCAATGCAACCTTATAATCACTGAATATCACTCCTATTTTTGCGGTAAGTGAGTCATAAAGTGTAGCTTGTTTCCAAAGATTATCGCATGTATCCCTGAAATTTGTAATTTTGTGTTAAAAAATGATGAAATAACTACTCTTGAACCTATCAGAGAAGAATCTTTGGAATAATACTTTAAACTGTCTTTATTGACTGCGCTGGTTAGCAGGTCTGTAATCTCCTGAATCAGTTGTGGCGAGATATGTTCATGTACATCGTAGGTAACTATTTTATCTATTATATCTTTGACAAAATTGTTGCCACAAGTCGCATTTCCTGGTCTACGCAGGCCCTGTTCTTTATTCGGATTTTGGCTCTGAATAGACCATCCACGTCCACGGCCAAACGAAGTCATCTTTAAGAATCTCGACAATTAAACCTGTTGACAAACAAACATATGTTGTATATATATATATATATATATATATATATATATATATATATATGCATATACGTAACGCGCGTTTTCTCTCTTTATTTATACCACTCGACATTCAAAGAAACATTGCTATGAATACCAAATAAAAGAATCGTAGATCCCATAAAGCAGAGAGTCATTGTTAGGAAAACAATGCCTCTGGAGAGAAAGAGACAGACAGAGAGAGAGAGAGAGATATGTTTGTATTAATATGATCAAATGCATGTGTATATATATATATATACATATATATATCGTTCAAGTTTCGAACGAGAAGAAAAGCAAGAAAGTGCAGAGAAGATACGTTTAAAACATATATTTTATGCATATATAAATTTTTGCGCAGCATATGCCTGACAATTTCAGGAACGTACCAAGTTTCGCCATATTTAATGACGTAACATATTCAAATATAATAAAAATTCCATAATTAATTATTACGCAATCTTATGAATAACAGTTGCGAAACCTTATCAATACAAAACATAAATTTAGTCTAGAATGGAGTATCTGCAAGTATATAAAATCTGATTTTATATACTAGTATATTAAACTTTTCACAACCCATACAGCACAGAACGTTGCAGCCATGATGTAATAATACAGGTGTAACACTCCCGTAGATGCGCAGTCGTCCAAAATAATTCGACCAATTATAGAAATTGGTCCCAAATGCTAAAAAATAATATGGCTGCGAACATATGTTGATAAAATATGCAGATTAAATACACTACTCCTATTTTATATTGCAAATTTATTATTTTTGATGTTTCCATAACATATATTTTTACAAATTTTAATTACATTTTAATAATGTGATAGTTCTGTATTTGAATTTTGTGAATGTATTTGGGACCAACTTTTGATTGGCTATCCCATCATACTGCCGCCATTATGCGCGATGTTACACCTATATTATTACATCATGGTTGCAGCAACATTGCAGCAACATTGTAACATTGCCGCAATGTTGCTACAATGTTGCTGCAATGTTGCTGCAACGTTCTGTGCTGTATGGGGAATAATATGTATATATTAATCAAAAGAGATGTACGATGACATACATTTCTCTAATAAAATATTCTCTTTTCAATTTAGCGATTTAAAAAATCTCGTTTTAACATCTACGCAATAGCTATATTGCATAAATGTGGAAAACCTGCAAGCTGATAAACCAGTTTAAAACAGTAAAAAAATCGCAATATCAACTATATGTTGTGAAATTTAATAACGAGGAAAAGTGATCGATAATTAGACAGGCGTTTATATGTTATTACAAATCTAATCAACGATTTATTTAATGCCAATGTAATTTTAATCACTCTAAAACTATACTTATTGTGATCTTGATATATATATTTTTTTTATTCCAATTAAAACCGTCACAATACATTATACCCTAGGGTAACTTTTATTTAACATTTTACACGTAGCAATACAATTATATTTATAGGAGAGCGTGTACTTCTATTAATATAATATATATGTTATCAAGAAACGAAAATTCGAAATAAAAAGTATATTAAGAATAATAGTTAAAAACTTTACGCAGAAGCAAATCATTATAAATACAATAGCTGTATATTATATACTTTGCGTAATCAAATTTTAACATATTTTATTTTATTAAAAATATATAAAATTTATACTTTGTGTGCAAACAGATGAGATGTTGTAGATTCCTTGAACTTTTCCTGAGATGTTTCTGGACATCGGACAATCCAAACTCGCGCATGCGCGCGAGTATCTCTGGCGCTCGGGTGCCGCGGGCGATCGCCAATCATCAATCGGTATAGCGTAATCTCCAGTAATGATCTGTCAGTCATCGTCAATCATCAGTATGGCCAGTCATTGTCTCGCGTCATTATCGTTGTAGCCATCGCGTGATCCAAATGACCGGCGGTGAGCGACAACTGTGATTCTGGTACTGGGGTACTCTTTTTCTTAGTTTGGAGCTAGAGAGTCGGTTCGGTGTGTGATTCGATTCTTGACGGAGAGGACGAGTCGCGAGTCGCCGCGACATCAACAGCAGGCAGTCGCCAAACGTCGTCGGCCAAGTGCGCTTCGATTTAAGGTGATCCCTCTGGGAGTGTTTTTACTGCGAGGAGAAGATACGCATTCTTATCGAGCGTATCGCGCGAATAAACAAAGAAGAGTGATACCGCGCCTCGAAAGAGCAAATAGAAAGAAAAATCAAAATATTGCACTCTCTGTCGTTCGTTCAGTATCGAGGAGGAAATATGTCGACGGAGGAAAAATTCAACGCTGCCGTAAACGTCATCAGGAATCTGCCGAAAAATGGTAATTTTTTATGAAGAATCTTAATGTCATCGTAAATTATATATATATATA